TGGAGAAAATGCAGGAGTGACTAATGGCTTCCCATCCCTCCCACTGGCCCCCCATGCTTCCTTCCCCATGGGGGAAGCAGTCAGCTCTGATGGGAACTCAGGGAAAGGGGCCAATAATCTAGGGGTCAGGGACTTGGCTTGTAGATGGTGCAGTGTGATTTCAACCTCAAGGATGAGCAGTTTACCTTAAGGAACAAGGGAAAAGGGCTGAAAAGCAGCCCCATGGATGGAAAGCCCATGCCTGTGAGGTTTATGATTGGGGTTGGAGCAGAGGGCAAGAGATGCTGCTTCCAGACCAGGCCATATCTCATGTCTCACAGAGGGATTGCAACTCTGAATCATAATAAATGGAAAGAAAAGGCTCCTGAAGTTGGCATTATAGTCACAGACTCATTCTATTAGACCTCGTTTAATTTATTCTCATGTAGAGAGGACATGTGATTAATCATCTCAGCAAATGCATTTCCAGATGCATCAAGGGAAATCCACGGCCCAGGTGCCAATCTCCCCAGGCCATGGCTGTCTGCAGGGAGCGCGGGTCCCAGCCAGCATTCCCATCACTGGCAGGGCAAGCGCCTGGAGTGTGTCTAGGCACACAGCGCAGCCTCCCAGCTCCCCATCACAGGGCACGCCCCTCCCTCCTGGCCAGGTAGCTGGTCTACTGGCCTCTTACCCAGGCCCGGGAACAGGAGGCTGGGCGACTGCTTGGGGACCGCCGGCCGGCCGGCGGGCGAATCAGCCGGCTGGGCGCTGCAGCGTGCACACGGGGGAGGCCCCGGGCCCAGCGTTTGCCCCGGCTCCTAGCCCGTTTCCTGCTCGGATTTGGGAATTTTCAGGCCTAAAGGGAAAGTCCCTCGAGGGGAATAATAGGAGAGCGAGCACACCGGATCCGCCTGGAGAGCGAGGCAGGAAAGGCGAGGCTCGGTCCGAGGCCGGCGCGCGCCTGGAGGCGGGAGGCGGTGGAACCCGCGTTACTTTCCTGGAGGCTTTGGAGCGACCGAGGGAGAGGGGAAGGCTGAGCTGGGGGAAGACCAGCCGAGGGTGGGGGAGGGGAGCAGCTCCGCGAGCCCTCTGGAGTATGTGTCTGTCAGTGCGCGCGCGCGCGCGCGCGTGTGCGCCTGGCGCTTCTCCAAGGTGATTTCCCATAAACCACATGCCCCACAGCTTAAAAGGCTGTGCCGAGGAGCTGGCCGGTGGAGCCCGGCTCGGGAAAGTGAAAGTTTGCCTGGTGCTCTCCGCGCTGCAGGACTCTCAGCTGCCGGGACAGCGGCG